CGCTGCCTGCCCSGCCTGATCTGACAAGGCTCATATTTACTCTGGAGTTATTTGGCTTGCATACTCCAAGAGCTGGGAAGACCCTGACCCTGCAGCATGTCACCACCACAGTGATTGTCTGACACAGGGTTCTGTCCAGTGCTTTTTGTGCTGCACACCCGAAGGACAGGGAGACACTAGGGAGTCTCCACCACTTGTGCTGGGGGGCAGTTCACCACTCATGACTGGTGTTCCAAGACTTAGCTCCTGTGTGACATCTCAGTTTCCAGATTCTTGCAGTCCAGTTTCCCAGCACATAGAATTCTCAGCTGGTTTGTGTCAAGAGGCTCTATTCTGGGTTCAAACTAACTTTTAAGGCAGCCCCCTGGTGAGCTAGTTTAGTTGTATCACTATAGGGGCACAGAGACAGGAAGACAGGAACATTCAGGGGCCTTTGACTTAGCACTTTGTCTGAGTGCTAAGCTCAGACAAGACCTTTYCAAGATAGCTCCCTGTTAGGACACCCAGAGAATATGCTGGAAATGCAGGGAACTTTTCCAGAGCCAGTTTACCATGAGGAGCTCTTGTAGGGACAAATGAGGCAAGGCACGGAAGATAGCAGGAAACAGTTTTATTTGGCTGCAGCCAGGTTCAGAGGGCACAGCTTTTGCTGTGATCAATTAATCCCCTGAACCCCAAGTTCAGGGATTTCAGAGTTTTATACCCAGCATGTAAGGGGAGGGGCTCAGAAGTTCACGGTCTGCAGAAGTTCACATAGAAGCAGCTTTTTCTTTCACTGTTCTAGGCAAGTTAACTCTTCAAGGACAACACCTGAGAAGGGGAGAGCCTCTTCACCTCTTTCTTTCCTCCCCCTGCCAGCTGTTACCATGGAGTGATGAAAACCTAAGTCATGTAGTACGCAATATAATATACCAAACACTGGAATTTGAAGGCCACATTATTTCAGGGCCAGGGAATGGATGACTTGGATTGCCCCTGCTGAGAGCTGTTAGGTGTGTGACAYCCTGAGCCAGAGCTAAGGAGATTGTGTGCTTGCTAAATTTCTTCCCCAATATATTCTGTGCTGAATTACTTTGTCCAATGCTATGGCAAGGTTCAGTGTAGGACACTGGAATTTTTATTCATTTCTGTAGTCTATTTCCAAAGATTAAACAACTGCAATGAAATTGAAGCTAAGGAGATTATGTTCAAATCTCATTCCTTTTACCTCTGCCACTCTGGATCTAACCAGCTCTTCCCCCCCCCTGCCCCCATAACACTGGATCTGATTTAGACTATGTGCCCCATTAAGACTGCTCCAGTGAGCTCACAGATGTGGAAGACATGTAATTCGTAAAATGTCACACCCATAAGAGGCTTAACTGAAGAGCTAAACACTTTGTGGGTCTTTAGTCAGTGTATTTGAGGACTACATCCTTGCTGGGCTGTCAGGAAATCCAGAGGGAGTTTTAGTCACTCATCTTCTATAAGCACATGAGCATCAAGTATGGAAATGGCCTTTCTGAGCATTCTGACAAATCCATAGTGCTCTGGAAGTTCCCTTTGAACTACCCAAAACAAGTGATAAAGGAAAYCAGAAACAGTTTGATTTTAAATCAAAAGTTATGATTTTATTTTTAATCTTAATACACCAAAAAAAATATTTCTTTTAATGTAGTGAAATAAGCACTTGAAAATAACAWTTTCAACATTGCTGTGATTTGCTCTGTGAGGCTTTGATGGGTGGGTTTGTCTCTAAACACAGGCCCTGAGGCCCCTAAGAAGCTGAATTTTCAGGCGGTCTTCAAGGTAGTAGCAAGCAGCCTCCTGCCTGAACATCCCCAGACCAGCAGACTTGTCTGAAATGAACATGACCAGAAAGCACTGTCAGACTGCCTCTGTAACCTTGATTTTTGTCCACTGGAAGAAAAAAGTCACAAGTGCCACCAAACATTGGGAAAACAACAGCTCTTATATATCAATACAAGGCGGGACCCTTCAGTTGTGTCCTAACTGGTTACAAAGGTGGCTTTGACTGATTTATGGAACCAGTTTCTTTAAACAGTTACACCARGAGTTTCCTACAATACAGTTGCGGGTATGGGCTTCCAGGGACGTCTATCTGATCGTGAGACTGTCACCTGCCTGACCTAAAATTAAAGTGCTGTAACTGAGACCTCATCAAATCCACTCACGGATGTGGTCCTGCTGTCCACCTGGGCTGCAAGAACAACTTGTCACTTTTTTTAAGAAGTGGAACGCAGGAGGAAAGGAAGTCTGGGGATCCTGCCCCACTTCTGTGAACCCTGAATTTTCAAAGTATTTGAGGATGAGGAAAGTCACTTGATGATTYAACAGGCTTATGGTATTCTTTGATACAGTGTGCAGGTGTACTCAACTGGCCTCTTCCGCAATATTCTGCCATTTGGCTCACAGATGTTTATAACAGCATYTGTCAAAACCAGCATTCCAGAAAAATGCTGTAACTACACTGTCACCTGTTTTGTGTCACTGTCAGGTACCAGCATACAGAAGTGGCTGGCTTATTGGCAAACTAGTACCTACCACTTCATACTGATTGTCAGATCAAGATAGGGCATCACTTTTATCATTTTAATGTGCATGTGACAGGTTAAATGCTGTGGTCTGGTCTTAGTGAAATTTCTTCTGGATGGCACAAAGAAATGGGCAGAGGAACAACTTTAAAGAGCTCTGGGAAACAATGACTCATACCATGAACATAGGCTCTACCATCATCCCAAGTTGATAGCAAAATATTTATTATTGAAAACAAAGAGTGGGAAAAGATAACATTGGCTGCTGGRAAGTTCTGGGCTTTCATCATGGTATTCTCACAGTGTTACTTTTCAGGATGGAGGCTTTTTCTGGAAAGTGTCTAAGAGATATGGGCATGGACCATATTCTGAATCTTGGGAGGCCARGTCTATTTGGTCTTCTCCATTCTCCTAGCAGTTCCCTACAATAAACATTGGACAGTCCAACAAATCTGCTAAAGAATCATTAGCTCTCAGAATGTGCCATTGTTGGCTTAGTTGTGTGACACATAGTCTCTGAGCTGAGCCAGTTCTATCAGAACAAGGAAAAGATTATCTGAGCATGCTCTCTCACCCAGGTAATTCAGTGGTTTGGGAATATAGCCAGCCTTCTGTAGCTGATTCCAGGTGCTTTGTTACTCAGAGGTGACAGGGTTTATCTTATCCTGAAGAAACTACACTGGATTTAAAAATATTTTCCATGGGTCTCTTGGCTAGAAACGTTCTCCCAGGTTCCTACTGCCTTTTCCATTCAATTCTACCCACTCAAATGAAATTTTGGACTGGAGTCAAGAGGTTAGTCACTGGACTAGCCAGTCTCTTTATGTAAGCATAGATAGCTGGAGAAGTGACAGGGAGGGATAAATCAACCCTCTCATTGTCCTTGACTAATACATAGGTAAGTATTCCCCTCCCCACTAATTTTTGTAGTGCAGTTAGAAAAGCGGGAATAAATTACCTGTAACAACCTTAATCCATGATTTTAACTTGGTACTTTGGCCTAGCATTGAATATAAATACAATAAATAAATAATAATAGTCATTCTTTTCTCATAAGCAACACTAGAAGGTTCAGAAAAAAATCCCCTGTTGAATGAATGGAGCATTTCTTACTAGAAATTTATTGCAAAATTCATGCATTTGGGTTGATATTCAGACCTAATGTGCAAAATTATATATATATATAYACACATATATGTATACTTACACATACATGTATATATAATTATTTCATACACACACATATGAAATCAAGGATTTGTTTTTATTTAATCCAGGAATGATGTTTTCACCATACTGGGATTGGAATGCAGTGGAAACTCATTTTAATAGAAAGACACTCTATTGTAGCACAGTGGGGCAGCTATAAAAATTGCCTGCCCGTTTTCCTGGAATGTTAACTGACAGCAGGATTATCTATGTGGCAGTCAATTCTCTGGTAGGTTTCAGATTTGTCATGGGCCAGTGATCCAGCCTCATATCTTGATATAATTAAAGCAGCTAAGCTGAGATATTAAAAACAGTAAGCTGAACCTATATTACCAGAATTTTGTTTTTTAAAAAACGTGTGGATTTTTTCCTCCCATGATAAACACTGGAAATGCTTTAGATATATTTAGCTAGTTTAAGAACTATTTATTAAACTTTCAACCTGTAAACCCAAATTTTAAGTTATTTTACAAGTGAACAGAAGCATGAACTTAATATCAAGACTTTGGAAGCATCACCTAGAGTCTTTTTTTAAGGTTTATGTTCATTTATGTTCATTTCCTTATTCTAACCTGCAGTAAAGAATCTATGATAAATCACTGAATTAAATAATTAAACCTACTAGATGAGCCTCTGACTGGTCCTTTGACTAAATTTCAATTGATATGTGGCCTTTTTTCTTGTCTTAATTAGTCTACTCATTTTCTGTTCTAAGAGGGAAAAAGTCTTATTGCACAGTATCATGTCTTTGCAAAGCTCTAAAGACYGTTTGCATCCTAAGAATCTATCCTAGTTGTTGTAGCAGGACCTAGCTTTTTAGCTCACATCAATTTCTGCCTTAATAACATTACATCCTTCCATCAATCATATCTCATCTATGAACCAACATCAGGACACCAAAGACTGTTCACAATAATTTAACATGGACGTAACAGCTTCTTCTCTGCACAGCCCCCTCCCCAGGTCTTTCAGTCATGACTTGGTTTGCATGGACTCTGTGTTCATTGTTCAAGCCATTCACACAGAATGGAATAAAACTTTATTCTTTTTAAATTCCACACATAAACAAGATGCTGAAAAAGCCCTTGCCATCTCTGACAGAAAAGCAGAGCAGCTCTGTTTCATGAATGACAGCACAATTAAAGCTAAAATAATATAAAAATAATTTGAAAAATCCCTTTTACTGTACACTCTCAAATAAAGCAAGAAAGATAAACAACAGTTTTCTGCTAGCCAGAAAATGTGTTACTACTCATTTCGGCTTTGAAGTTCAGTGTACCCCACATTTATGTGCATATATGTGTGGTTATGTGTGTATAATAATCTATGCAGTGTAGTAGCCCCTAACCTTTTCATCTAGTTTGCCTAATCATTAAGCTACTGAACCAATTAAAATACTATTATATCACATTGAACAACTTTACATACATAATTGCTTCTTTGAAATCCTAGGAACGTTGACACATTTATTTGGCTTGTAGAGGACTGAAATATTACAGATAATATTATCTAGCTCTTTTCTTAAAAAAAAGAATATGGCTCTTAATAAATTGATTTTCTGAGTTCCAGAGCAAAAGTCCCTTTTAAAAAATTTCTGAAGCTGACTTGAAGCAGGAAGGATGTCTTCTGATTTGGCCAAACCTACAATGAGTTGTTTAATATCATTTGAAATGGAAAGGATTCTTCTATGGGGGCCTTTTGCTATCAACTATKTCCAGCCAAACTTGTCATGGTGTGTTTGTTAATTATCTCCACTTGGCCAGCAGAGGGCACTTAGAACACCTCTGCATGGCTTGGGGAGCTAATGTGGACCAGGTGGAAACAGTACTCACCCCAAATCAGGCAGAGACTCTGCAGATTTCCTTGTAAATTCACAAAAATGTAGAAAACRTGAACCATCCACCAGGGATTCATTTGGAAAGTGAGGACTATGTGTGAAGGCCAACAGAGAGGAGCATCCTACTGTCTGGCTACTGAGGGCTCTTTAGCTCATGCCTTTTCACCTTCCCAAGCTCCACTGATCCTGGGCTCAGCCCTTCCATGTACAGTGCAGGATGCACTTTCAAGCCATCTGGTTGAGTTTTTATTATTATTATTATTATTATTTTATTTGTTTTTTTTTTTTTTTGAGTCTGCATTTACTGTTCTATTCAAATGTCTGGGACAACTAAACAAATGTTTCATATCTCATCTAAGAGTAGAAATGATAACTATTAGAAATATTCTGGTACAGAGAGCTGCCCCTTTGGGACCCGGGTTGCATTACTTCCATTCTCCCAGAAAGAACCTTGGAAAAGTACTGTGCCCTGTTTTGTTTTTGGCAAACTCACTAGCCTGCGGCTGGGCAGTGAAGGGAAAAATATCTATCTATGTCTTGAGTTGAACTAAAAAATGATTAAGACATCTTTTTTTTTTCATGGGGGCTACAACAAGCTAACCTTTCTTAAAAAGGCTTGAGTTTCTGCAAAAGCATCATTGTCCTAGATATAAACCCTGTGTCTCTTCCATTTTCATCTTTTCTACTGGCTCCAGTTTCATGTCAAAAAAAAAAAAAAAAAAAAAGATCAGAAAGGATTGTGTGTGTGCTCGCACAGTTTTTAAAGTAAAATTCTCTCATCCTTAGAGAAAGATAACACTTAGTAAATACTTTTTTGTTTTTCATATAGTGTTAATAGCCTTTGCTTGCTTTCTGTTAGTCTCTCTCTGCCTCTGGCTCACTGTTGTTCTCATTTGTCCTAGAGTAGACAGATAAGAGGGATTGTGGTCTTCCAGCAGCAGTGCTTTGAGATGGAGGTGCACTCAGTGAGTCCTCACCCAAAAAGGATCATAAACTTACTGGGTTAAGTCAACCTAATTATCCCTAAGCTGCCTCGGGTTTTGTGTCTGCTCGTCTGTTTTGTTTTAGCTGCACCATATGTGATTCCTTGTGCCATTTTCTTTTGTCTTATTATTTTTCTTGATGACCCTGAGCTATGGCTTTCTCCTCAGTTCCAACACTATTCAGCCTTCGTTGTTTTCTTCATTTTGCCAATGTAGGCCTCAAAGAAGAAATGGCAGAAGAGCACAAGGTAGCTGAGGTACATGAGTGAGGACCAGAAGATGTTCTGAAAGTGAGAGTGACACTGGTCTTGCTGCATCCAGTAGAAGACCAGGTAGTTAATGACACAGCCCATCAGCATCTGAGTGATCTGGGACAAGGTGATGAACATGGCAAACTTCCGGGAGACTCGGAAACCCGCGGCCCGCAAGGCATAGTAAGAGTACATCACGGCGTGCACGCCATAGTTCATAGTCATGAACCAACCACCCCCAGCAATCATGTCTTTGTAGGAGTACCAAGAGTACAGGAGCACAGTGATGTGGTGGTACCAATGCAGGAAGATCAGCTTCTGCTTCCTCAGAATGATGAATATTGTGTCTCCTGGAAGATAAAGGAGGGAAAAATGTACATAAGCCCTTGACCACACACAATGATAATCCACAGTTTTGTTAGAGGACAGATATCTTGAGCTAGGACTGGAGAATTAGATGAACTGGGTTATAATCATGAGCTGGTATTTGCTACCTCTTTGACGTTGGGCAAGTTACATATTCTCATTATTTTCTAGTTTCCTCATCTCCAAAATGGGATAATTAGTAACAGCAGCTTGGAATTATCTGAGGATTAAACAAGATAGTCAATATACCTTCTTCATACATGGCAAGTAATCAACAGATGTTACTTTCAAGGTATATTACACAAAGTCCCACTAATTTTTGATCTAGAATGGACATTATCATCCAGGCTGTCTGATTCTCAGTGAACCATTCATCTTAGGATATATCACCCAGAGGGGACTGGTAACCTGTCAATCAAGAGAAATAGACTGGAATGCAATGCAAGTGCCCAGCAAAATATTCTTAGTCCTCTCCAGAGTTGTAAAACCATATTTTTTTCTTTGATCCACGACAAAAGATACCCCTTAAACATCCATTTTTGTGAGCTCCTCTGTATAATGTCCAACCCTTGTAATTTGTAAGAAAAGCAAAATTTAAATAAAAGGCAAAGATGAAAGAAAAGGGCAGCAAAAATCATCCTCTATACACATGCACTGATGAGGGCAAAGGGAATGCTTGACACCAAGGAATCAAGTGAGGAAAAACTGAAAATAAGAGTTCATTGTATGGAATTAACTATAAAGAAAGCTCTGCAGGATCCACCAAAAAGTTTTCTTATTACATCATTGTGAAGAAACAGACCACTGTTTCTGAAGTAAGAAATTATGCTAGAATTATGCTCAGGTTGGTAGATGCTCTGTATCTGCAATGATTCTGAAAAACAGAGAATGTAGAACATTTATGAGAAAATGGATAAAAAGCAAGCCTAGTAACAATTCACCCAATTCCATTAATAAGTAAGATAAAAAGGGATGAGACTCTGATATGTGAGTCAGAAGCAGGTGTATGCAGGTAAACATTTCTTTCTCATCTCTGTGGTTATCAGATATGGGGAACACCAGCATCCTTCAGGGTCTCTGGTAAACCCAGAGTGACTTCTCTTTGTATAACAAGAATTAGAAGGTCCTTAGTCTGAAAATTTAGTAAGCACAAAGGGGACTCATACTTATGCCTCCCATACTTTATGATGGCCTAAAATGCTTGGCATTAGGCAAGGTAAGAAAACTGGGCTTGGGAAGACTTTTGAGGTTCTGATGGCTGTGGCTGGAATACAGGTGGTGCCCTATTCCACGCATCAGGGCTATTAGTGTATTTTTTTCTCTGCCGAATTATTATTTGTTATTACTTTGTTTAGAAAAGAAAAGTCTCCAGTTGCTACATTTCTGAACCTGTTTAAAATTTCCAATGAAATCCTCTCCCTCATTTTTATTATGTCTGTAAATGTCAGACAATGACAATGACAGATGGTGATGGTCACTCTCATGTGTATATTTAAGGGCTGAAACTGGGGTCAGGAGACCTGGGGCCTACTTCCTGGTGTTAAACTGTGCTATTCTGGCACGCCTGTCAAAGACTTATACTTCTGTGTAATTATTGTTCTGTGCCTGTCTTTCCACTGTAGACTGTTAACGCAGGTACAATAATCCCAACCGACTTTTCTTCACGGTGGAAAGAAGACAGAAGTCCAAGGAACTGTATGTTAAAAACAAATTTTAGTCATTCATATTGAGAAGGTGTTTTTCCCCCAAGTCTCTTAGCATATATATCCAACATGATCTCTAAACACACTATAATAAAAGTATATGCACAAAATAACATGAATTTCATCCTAATTCTTGATGTCTAAAGACCATATTCGAATGAACCAATGTGGAATGCAAACTGGAAACTGCAATTCTAGGGTTGAGGGCTTTGTTTTTCCTGACCACAGGGGTGGAGTTGGGGTTGTCTCAGGCTTGGTCTGAGACATAGTAGGTGTTGCTAGGTACTTTGGAGAGGGGGTTTGCAGTCAAAGATATTATCATAAAATCTTGAAGACATAATGACTTTGAATTCACTGGAAGAATTTCTTCCAGAACAACATGTACAGGAGGATGATAGAGTAATGAAGATGACTATCTCCCCATGATGGCTCTGAAACTGCTCAGCAGCACCACTCCAAAGCCAAACCAGGGTTACTTCTTAAGACCATAGATGCAGAGAACTGTGGTTTCCCTAGTATGAAGGGAAACTGGTAGGGGGTTCCAGAAGGGCCAACCCAGACCCTTCAAGGTCACTGACATTGCCGCTTACATGTACCAGCCAGGTACTGGGGCAGGTACAGAATATATTTCCTCTAGAGAAATCATATAACATCACATTTAATTTGTCATGAGCCAGAGGCATGCCAAACTGTGGTATTTACAGGCTTGCCAGAGTTACAGAGGGACCCAGAAATATAAACTCTCCTAGGGACTGTATATTTGATGTTGGCCAACCATTCTTTCTTGGCCACATGTCCAGCTGGCATTGTGGAATGCATTTTTGGCCAAGTACAAGCAACGAGACTTTGGACTCTTGAGGGTTTCAGTCATGTCACCTATTTTAGCTACTTCCTGGTTCATGTCCTCTTAATCATGATCTACCTTTTGGTCCAGCTATTTTGAGTTAAGAGATAACCTGCAGGCATAGCTTGATGTTTTTTTTAACCTAAATGTCCACCCCCTGAACTATACCTTCTGCCTGTGCACCTGCTAAGTGCAGATATCCATGAATCTATGGAGAAGTCCTTTATCATTTAGAAAATCCCCAGAATACACACAGCCACCAAGGGAAACAGAGAACATACCCTGCATGTGGCTTGTCACAGAAGGCTGAGTTTCTCTTCGCAGAATTAGCTGGAGTGCTGCTGAGTCAGAGGTTCAAAAACAATGACAAGCTCAACTGAGCAAGGACCCAGACTCACAGCAGATGTTTCCAAGTTTTAACAAAAGCAAATCTCAGCAGGTTTTAATATAATTCAAACAGGAGGCACTAAAGATTTGGCATACAAAAGCAGGGTGATGGCTCTCTTTCTCTCACTTGTTCTAGTAGAATGTAACCCTCTAAATTCATTGAAACCAGCTTACTGTTTTCTGCTGAACAGAATCCTTGCTGTGAAAGGGGCAGTCAGTGTTAAATGCGTGCGGAGTTTCGGCTGGGGAGATGCAAAGGTTTTGGAGATGGATGGTGTGATGGTTGTACAACAATGTGAATATTATGTATATTTTACTGCAATTATAAAAAAAAGTTTAGTGAAAACTGTAGGCATGTGGATTTAGGGGAGAAACACAGTTTCATTGTTGTATATGGGAGAACTGTTCTTTCCCTTCCTTCCAATATTCATACAGGAGGACACAATCTTGGAATACTGAAAAGGCAAACCTGGGACTGAAAAATAAGCCGAGTTATAAATAAATAATCCAAATTATAAATAAATCACTCAAATGGATCGATCTTTCTTAATCAAATGGTAACAAAGAATATGCTCTCAATTAGGGCCAGTGGTTGGCTGCCCTGCAGCACTGGTGCTGATTTTTAGGTTCGTTTTTGACTTAGCCTTTCACTTTTGCAAGACAACTGTCAAACAAGCTCTAGAATATTTGAAAGATAATATAACTGAAAGAGCATGAAAACATCACTATAAAAAATCTGGAACTGTCTTGAGATTTTAGGCAGCTTAACTAGCTTCATCAAAGAGACCATGTGAAGATTACCTTTTTTCCAATGTCAACACTTGAATCCTGTATTTTAGCTGGGAAGGGATGGCTTATTGGATAATCTACAAACTATTGCCACAAATGACTGTGGTGATGTGTCTCTCCGGGGAAAAGGGCTGCATGCCAGCAACACACCACGCCAAGCCAGTCAAGCCAAGGACCTGAGTCTGCCTCCATCCAGATGCAAGAGGAAGACTGCTAGGTGGCAGAGGGGAGTGGAACATTCAGTCTACACTAAATTCACTACACTAATTTGGATGAGTTAGCATCATCGGGTCAACACAACACAGAGCATGGACACCTGAGTGCTGCCATAACAGCTCTCCCCCAGGAACTCCAACTCCATTCTAGAACTTCACTTTCCATCTGGAATAGAGTCAGGAGGGCACACAGCAGAGGTCTAATCATGTGTTCAAAGGAAACTGACGAACATAAACAGCTTGAGGTGGCTCTTCAATAAAATATTCCTTCAAAAAGCAGAAGGGACTACTTTTATTCTCAAGCCCCTCAAATACAACTGGACACAACTCAGAACAGACAAGGGATCCTTGCAGACTTTTCTTGGGCAGGGGATATAGCTCAGTTGGTAGAGTGCTTGACTCCCATGCACAAGGCCCTGGGTTCAATCCGCAGCAACAGCAGCACCACCACCACACACACACACACACACACACACACACACACACACACACACACACACACACGGCTTCTCTAGAACAAAAGACTGAGATTGCTTCTTTGCAAACTGCAGCTTAACCCATTAAGTTCCAAGTTTGTAATTCTGTAAATATTTCAATAACAGTTACATTAAAAAAGGTTAAAATCTGTTATTCAATTAAAATTTTTATATGTGGGGGCTGGGGATGTGGCTCAAGCAGTAGCGCATTCGCCTGGCATGTGTGCGGCCCGGGTTCGATCCTCAGCACCACATACCAACAAAGATGTTGTGTCTTCCGAAAACTAAAAAATAAATATCAAAATTCTCTCTCTCTCTCTCCTTTCTCTCTCTTTAAAAAAAAATGCATCCTCAGGATGTCTAAAAAAAAATTTTTTTATGTGTTCCATCTCTGGAATGATGGCAAAAGATGGGTTAAGGGTTAGTAATAAGATACCACTTCTGATTTAACAATGGGGATAGTTTTTATTTATTTATCCTTATATAAGGACACTTATTATAGAGTATAAAAGAAAAGTCCAGGGAACATGATATTTCTCAACTTGAATAATTCTCAATTATGTAGAACTCTATTTATTTTAAAGGAAAAAAAAGTCATGCTCTAAGAGTAAAGAATACCTGCTTCCAGTCTCAGACCAACCCCAGTTTGAAAATAAGTGCTCTGATTCAGAAATCTTATGAACCTAAATAAAAAAAAAGAATCACTATGAAAGAGATATATCTAACAAGATGATCTTTTATTTTATCCACAAATGAAAAAACAAAATTAAAATATTCTCACAATCTAAAAATTTCTAAAAGTAGATTTCCAGACTTTGTACCTAATGGAATCAATACAAGTATGAAAAAATAGCTTCCTGGGGCCTGATCCATAAACTTTATATTGTAAAATTCTTTTTAGACAAAGTAGCCATTCTATTCTAGCCCCTATTAAATACCTGGTGCATGGTTGGTGCTTAGTATAAACTTATTAAATAGATGAACCCACTTAATGCATTTTTCTCTAGGACTCTCTTTTCATAGGTGCACACCACAGTTTTCTAGTTATCTAGGACCATGTGGAGGACCTATCATTGCACTGCTGCCCCTCTTAACAAAGGTTTTAGAAAACTTTTCTGCTACTGCTTGTCCTGACCTGGAATTGTCAAACCAATTGCAAGGTACTTGTAGGCAGCAGGTTTTTAGCACACAGGGACAAAATCCAGAGAGAATTCATACCCTGGATGGACACAGGGGTGTGAAACAGAGGCACCTTACAGAAGGCTGCTGGTAACTGACACTACAGGAATCTTGTAATAAAATTTCTTGTAATAAAATTACCTCTAACCCCCTTTTTAAGGGAAATAGGAGAGGGAACAATAAATATCTTTTCAACTAAATACAAGCACCTTTTAATGCCAGAATTAAAATCTCTGAAATGATGCAATTCTTAACTGCAGGTTAAGAAAACAGAAACCAAAAAACTCAGAGCTTATTGTCACCAGCGGCTTCCTTTCTCAGGCAACAATGACATTTCCTGGAGAAGTGAGCTCATGTCAAATCCTTACCTCTTCATCTTTCAGTGTTCTGCCAAATAGTGCCAACCTTCCCTTCAAGATCATTAAAGATTTGAAGGTAAAAACTCTAGAAATGTACACATACAGCCAATATTTTCTATTGATTTCTAGAAGGGGAACTACCTTTTCCTTTCCCAGGTGTCTGACAGATGATTAAAATCAAACAGCACCAGAGACCAACAATTAGCATTTGTTAATGAGAACAGGAGGACACTCAAACGAAAAGCTTATTTTCCTAATCTGAATCCTAACTCAAGAGATCAAAGTATGCTTCGATATGGGGCTTGGAAACAGCTGAGCTGCCATTTTCCCCTCAATCTAATATTAGCTCAACTGTTGATGGACCTTAGAGAGGGGGCTGTGTATATTTTATAAGCCCCCGGAAATGTATTTTTAGTAGTGCCTGGAAATTGGCATGTTCTACATAAACCATCTTGCTGTTTATATACTTGAGGTACAATTATTTAAAAGGCTGGAGGAGACAGAGAAAGTGCAGATCCTTCAAAACCTCAAATTCGTTCATTATAACTTTCCTGCAACCAACAAAACAAGACTTTCAAGCCGTTCATTTCTTTGTTCATTAAAATAAATAAATAAATAAATACATGGACAGGTAGCTACAAAGATGGGGGAGAAAAATGGAAAGAGGGAAGACACTCACCTAGTTCGGGTGCTTTGCTTAGCACAAATGCATAAGCCCAGAATTTGCTGACGGGTCCATTGTAAAAGCTCTGGTCACAAACTGACTGCTTCAGGCCTTTGGTCATCAAAATGTACACCATGTAAGCACCAGTTCGAAGAGCACCGAATATACTTCATAACAAAAAGAGAAAAGAAACAAGAGTCAGGAAAAAGTTAACTTCATCTCTGATGTTAACCATCCTTAGAAGACTGGGTGGCTGCTGACAGGAAACAGGCTTAGGAGAATCATGATATGCATTTACCGAGAAGCATCTTTACATGTTCTGTAAACCCCATCTAACACAATTCTCAGTGCTTTATTCTGAAGACCATGCACATGATGGTGCTTCATCAGTGTTCAGTGAGGTGACAGAAAAGGGGATGGTTCAAAGCAGGGTATCATGAAGAACAGCTGTGACCTTGGTGTTTCAGTTTGAGAACTATTCCTTGGGGAAGAGGGGGGAATAGCTGCAAAATCAGAATTATTAATTTCTGTCCTGTTTCCAATCATTTTTCAAGCTCCAATGGCTCTCCTTCCTAAAAATCTGTTAATCTCTTTAAGTCAACTCTTTTTCTATGTCTGGACTGGCTTCTTGTTTTTTTTTTTTTTTTTTTTTTTTTTTTTTTTTTTTTTTTTTTTTTTTTTTTTTTTTGTGGTGCTGGGGATTGAACCTGGGGCTTTGTGCATGTGAGGCAAGCATTCTACCTACTGAGCTATATCCCTAGCCCTGGACTGGCTTCTTTAAACCACTCTCTGAGCCTTTCTCAGAGAAACTGGAAGGAGCCTCCTCCAAAGCTCAGCTCCACTTCCTGGAAGTGCACCCCAGGCACAGGTGAGGATTCACCTCTGAGCTCCCCAGAACCACGTAGCAATACCACTTCACACACTGTTCTTCAGTATGCTTGCCTCCACGTAGGCAAAGGTGCTCCACCGAGATTGTTGAAAGAGGGAAAGACAGTTGGAAATATGGAGGAAATGAACCCCCTCCTTGTATATGCGTTTTCTTCTAGACTAAGAACGTGCTAAGGAAACAGGAGAGCTCTGGAGTGTGTTGGCTCAATAATGCAACTTGAAGCATGAAAGATTTGGCACCTGGAAAAAACAGATTCTATGGTGGAGTGAACCCCTTAAGCATTATGTCCCAGTGTCTGAAACAACAGCCAGTACTCAAAGGAGAGCCAGCCAGCCCCAGAGGGAGCTGGGTCTGGTTATCCTACTTCTGCCCCAGAAAGCAGCATTCCCTACTAGAAATCAGTTGGGAAATGAATGAATGCCTGTGGAATTAAGTGGCTGCCTCACTAAATAGGGAAGTCTCTTCTCTAAAGGCATAAAGTCTTCATTAGATGATGTTACTCTTTTCAATATAAAAAATTAGTCGTTTTACAGTTGTTAATCTTGTTTAATCCTTCAGTGACTTCCCTGTGCACTTAGAAACTCTTGCTTCCAGACCAGGACCTAAGTGGCTCTGAACTGGTGATCATCCTGTCTCAGCCTTCCAAGCCACCGGGATTATCATCAGCATAATTTATAAACATCCCCTTCCCCACTAGTTGCAGCCCACCATATCTAGAAACCACACAGCCAGATCCATTCCCCCACTGTCTTTCCTGCTACTCTGTRTGCTTTGCAGGTAATCAGAGAAGAGACAAAGAAGTTCGTTTGGAATAGTTACTTTCCTTTCATCTTCCTGGTCTACAAGTCATTGTAGTTTATTCCTAATTCCTAAAGTATTAACACAAATTATCCTTTTGATTATTAAATATTTATTGGCATGATTTTAGATAAGCTAACTCTGGCTGACAGTTCATGGAAGGCTTTGGAGGAAGTGGTATTTGAATGAGGGACAAATAGGAATTCACAGTTTGAGGGTTTAGGGTACAGGGAGGTCACTTCAGAGCATTGTAGCATTGGAGGCTTTAATATCACGGTGACCCACAATAATGCTGACAACAAGGGTATGGCACATATTATTGTCCCATATCTGGATATAAGCCTCATTCCCAAAGCTCTGAACAATAAGGTTGACTCAGAACAGAAGACAGTAGCACTTTTCAGGGAAACCGTCAGTGCCAGCCATTGGGCCCATGTGTCCGCGGGCAAAGGCGCTTTGTTGTGATGTGACAATGCTACTGCTGGGGAGCAGGGGGGGGGGCTGCTTGGCCAATGGGATGATTGTTATTTGTGGGAAGCCACTAGCTCTGCCCCTGGCACATCTCAGTCACTGCAGACTTTGGAAGCAGGTGGCTTTTCTAACAGCATCACACTGTGATACATCACCAACATATACTTTAAGGTGAGAAGACATTTTTTCTCCCTAAGTTGTATTACCTTGAAAGATAGGGTGATAATAGGAAAATATGCCGCTTATGTTCTGTGACCACCCCACCACCCAGTTCTTACTTATACTCAAGGCAGACATTGCTAATCAACCTCTGCTCTCTGACTATGTCTGGGGGTGCACTAAAATTCTCAACCACTCTAAATCACTACCAATCAGAATCGAAAAGCCAAGCCATTGTGCACACTAAGCTTCCAATCACAGCTTGTTCACTTATGAGATTCATGACTGGGCAAGTTAAATTTTTTTCCCCCCATCTGAAGTGAGGATAACGATAGGTTCTATGAACTTTATAATGCAATATAAGAATAGTATTTAGTGTCAAGCCTTTGACATGTGTTCAATGAAAGAGTTCTTACTGTTATTACTATTCTTACTCTCCATTATTATCTGTTGTTATTATTGCTGTTTTATTTTATCCATCCTTCCATCATCTCATTTTGTCAGGTTAAGAGGGTAAGGATAAGACTTGGAAAGTCAAGATTGTCTGTTTTCTCTTATATATGGAAGCTAGAGAGAAAAAAGGAAGAGAGAAACGGGGAGGAGGATCTCATGAAAACCAAAAGGAGATCAGTAGAATAGGGGAAAGGGACCAGGGGGTGGGAGGCAGGAAAAAGGGGAAAAACTGGGGAAAGATATTGGCCAAATCATATTGATATGTTGCATGCATGTATGAACATGTGACAACAGATCCCACCATTGTGCCCAATTCTAATGCATCAGTTAAAAAATATGGAAGGAAAAAAAGAGGGTAAGGCTTATTATTACTAACTCAAAGTCAAGAAAACTGATTTAGAGAATTTGATTTGTCCCATGACTGTCCATGTTGTACACACACACACACACACACACACACACACACACACACACACGATGCCCCCACCCCTGACAGTGCTGGGTTTACTCCTGGTGGGTTGACAGGATCAATGCTACCATGAGATGCAGTCACATCTACACTGTCTCTTAGCTCCTGCCTGGCCTGGCAGTGGCCTTCCACTCACTGGAAGACTATCACTTGGTCTTTTTACAAAGAAACTCATACTCATGGTCTTAAGTTCAGGGTCTGGCCCCTGAGACACCAGAGGAGCAGCTGGCAGCCAGTGTTCTCCTCCAGCCCCTCTGGGAGGTTTCCTGAGGCCCATGTAGCATGCTTCCCACGCAGTGTACATCCAGAACCTGCAAGAGCACAGATCAGGGAGCCCTTCAGCAAAGGGCTGCGCAGGTGGCTCCACACCTGGCTGGCTCTGCCCCAAGTCTCCTATCTTGATACCAACTCACCTCTCCACAAAAGCTAGTCATATTCACCAACTTTGCATAATATAAGTGACAGCTAGCAAGTTCACAGTAGGATATGAAATGAACATTTTCTGCAGTATTTCTCAAGGGAGAGGCTCTTGGGATAACAAAGATTATTCTAAACCTAGAGCTTTAGACAAGCTGAGCATTAGGCCACTGTGTTTATCGAAGGCGGATGACTACTGTAGCACATGCCTTTTCTTAGCTTTCAGGTAAAACTCACACACTTATTTACTTGTATTTTTTTTTTATATTTATTTTTTAGTTCTCGGCGGACACAACATCATTGTTGGTATGTGGTGCTGAGGATCGAACCCGGGCCGCATGCATGCCAGGCGAGTGCGCTACCGCTTGAGCCACATCCCCAGCCCCTTTATTTGTATTTTTGAAGACATCATTTCTCTTATCAAAGTCTAGTTTTGATAACAGTAAAGGAGAAGCAGAGGGTTCAGTGAGGGGGAGCAGTGGATGTTTCTGCTCCCCTCAGCAACATCAGGCCCAATGCCATAAGGAGACAAGGGGAGGTCACAGCCCCGATTCACTGAGGTGCCACTGTTCAGGTCTTCTCAGACAGAAGAAGCCCTGTTTCCTCGTCATTAGCCACTCATCATGTGTGGGTACGAGGCATACCCACTGGGATACCTCACGGGGGAGGGGAATTTCTGTTTTGCACTACAGGTATTTATTTTCTGCACTGTTTGAGTGTTTTAAAATAACAAGTTTTAGATTAGTAATTAAAAAAAAAACTATTTAAATAGGTGCCTTGTCACAACTGACACATTGAATAAACAAGCACAATGGTACTAGGTATAAGGCTTTACTAGGGAACTTTTTAGTATGAAGCTGAGATTTAACACTAATCCAGCAGCCTTAGATAATCAACTGGCATTAGGACTGGTGGAGAAAACACTGAGTCATTTGTTGAAACAACACCTACTTATCAATACTGATTAAGTATCAGATATTATAGTACTCACTGGTAGGGCAGACAATCTACAGCCTATTGCAGAAGACAAGAAAAATGTGTATATGCATGTGCATGTGTGTAAATAAAAATAAAACAATATGAACAATTAGTGGTACACACAGAATACTGAAAGTGGGTGTATGTGCGTGTAACTGAAATTCTTTGGACACATACATAAACATGTTGGGACATTTACAATGAAAGTTTAGGAGGTAAGTTCTCATATTAAATATAAAGTTAATCTTCAGCTTGCATTATTTTCTTTTGCAGCTGTAATACTGGGGTCTTTTTAAAAGAGGTGTAAGAAACATCACCAATCTTCCTTAAACTCAAGCTTGATTATAAGGTTTTCTTATTTATCTACGTAAGACTAGATAATACTTTATTGTAGCCTTCCAATTTTATTGCTGTATGGAAGCCAAAATAGACTATATCAGTAATAACTCAAAGAATTCCAGCACTCTGCTCTAAGAAGAAAGTACCTTGGGTATAAATCATCAATACTTGCAATTATTTCCACACGAATACCA